AATGCGGTGCCCATTAATCCAGTCGTAAGACAGCACCATAGAAACAGTGTACGGACGATTAGGGTTGGACAAGACAGTAAACATACTGCTGAGTCTGATGGAGACCCAAGTCTAAGTTCAAACACAAAGTGAGTCATCCAGATCCCAACCTGGAGGGAGAGATTGACCAACAGCACAAAGCGTCAGCCTGTGAGTTCAAGAAAATTGCACTCTTCTAGTATCTCATGTCTTCACACAAAGGGGAAGAGAAAATATCCCCTGAAGTAAGAGGCAAGCAATCATGTGCAAAATGGCAACGTAGCAACGTAATCTATTCAAGATAATTCCCTTCCCTTGTGAAACTTCTCGACACCATGCAGAACACGCCGCAAACCTCACCATTGGAGACACGCTGGGTCCACACGACACAAGCACCGCCATCCTCACAACGATGGTAAAAAAAACTGAGAGTAGCTAAGGGTATACGGCCGAAAGAGTTAAGCCTCATCACTGGTAGTATAGACAGGCTTATTGCGGTTATACACATGACTATTCAGAAACAAGAAATCCTCCTCTGACCCTCAATACATAGTAGATTAATGGGGGAAATTCTTTCTTAATAAGGGTAGATGCACCGACTGTGCTAACCACAGGGGCATTAGCCTAACGCAAATGGTGTTAAAATTACTAGTCTTCATTCTTGTTCATCGCCTCACTGCGGAATATGAATCCCGGGTTAGGGAAGAATTGGGCGCGTTTCGTCCAGAAAAACGCCGCATAGACCATATATTCACTCTGCAGCAAGGATTAGGACAGCATCACTTGTATTCCAGATAGACTTTGACACCGTTCCTTCACTTTAAAGGTGCGTCCGATTTAGTTGATCGATCCATTATATTCGAGATATCTGTGCAGTGACTTATCAGATATCTTTCAGACAACAAGTGGCGTTCGCCAGGGTTGTCCGATTTCCCCAATTCTGTTCAACTTCATTGTGGACTCCATCATGGAGTGTTCCTTTGTGAAGTTTCAAGATGCAGACGTTGATGTGCTGCCTGATGAGAAGCTGGTTGATCTTGATTATGCAGACGGTATTTCCTTGTGGCTTAGCGATCTTGAGGCGACGAAAACAACCCTGAATAACCTTAATAGCGTGGTTCCGTCATTTGGCATGCACGTCCAACCATCAAAGTACAACGTTTTGCTACAGAACCGCCAGCCACTTGTTGTCCTCTTAACCAGTGATAGCGAGGAACTCTGAATTGTTGATCAATTCTCTTACCTTAGTAGCTGCATCCGCGTTAATGGGCGCATAACCACTAAAGTCAGTTCTCGTGTTGCAAAAGCCGGAACTATGTTTTCGAATCTGCGACATCCGCTGCATCAGCAATTGATTTCCCTCGATCTGAAAGGCCATGTTTGCAAGGCCACAGTGAGGGCGGTCTTACTCTAAGTTGGTGAGACTTGGCGCATTCGGTCTGATGATTCGAGGCGTTTTGCATTCTGACCATCGCTGTCGGTGATGCATTATTGGTGTCGGAGAGTACCAGCGTGCCCGTAACAAGGATGTGAGTACGCAAGTACTAGGCAGTGATAACCAAGCTAGTTCCTTAGAATAACTGATAGCACAGGACAAGTTACGTTGGCCCATCAATATGATTCCACCCCCTCCACAGACGTCACTCATCCCCTTCGGAGGGTTCCTGTGATCCATCCTTGAACTGACAACCAGATCGAACACAATCACACACGCGGCATTAGAGTAACAACTACATTCAATCTGGCTGCAAACCTACATATGCACATACGCATATGTATCCAGTTTGAAACTGGTTAACTTGTTACATATGTGTAAAAGTGCCCATTTTTTGTACCACTATGATCATGCCTATGCAGGCGTGTTTCGCATCGTCAGGAATAATTTAGTTATTTAATAATTTAGTTACTGCGTACTGAGGACAGCCTTGTTGTGTTTGCCAGAGGTAGTTTCACAAAGCTCGAGTAGGACAGAAGTTAACTTGACAGCGGGAAATGAAGTCACTGACTAGGTGTTGTTGGTCCGTCTCGTCTTTCAGAATGGAATCCACATGACCCGTCTTGTGCTTGACTCTTGACGTTTGAGGACATGCTCGCAGTCGGCACAAGCAGCGGGTCTGCAGTCGTCTCCTAGTTGGACTGCCTGTTTAAAATGCTTGGTGATAACTTACCTGCGGATTAATGGCTGATTATGACGCGGGGAAGTGAAAGGCGCAAGGACGATGCCGTCTTATCTTTGTGCGGTAGCCCACTGCCTGTGACTGTATGTTGTTGACACAAGGTGTAGACGCAACAATGACTTTGGATATTTGTTTATGGCATCAAGATTTTACGCTAGACCCCAGTTCTCTCCAGGTTTTTATTTTTTAATCCGTAGGCCACCATCGTTGTACGGCGGCGGAGCATCAGTTCACATGGTTGAGGTGCCGTTGTTGTTGATGATGATGACAACTCTCATAATATGTGAGGCAATCCTAGCAGTCACACGCTCGTGAACGCCCATGCTGCCAGGAAGACGGGTAAGCCAAGCAACGATCCTCAGACCCTCGCCCTCGATAGTAGGAGAGATAGTATTTTGTGTTTTGAAGCTGCTACCATGATCTGAAGTTGCAGACCGAATGTCGAAAGATGGAACTCATTGGGAAAGTCTGTCAAAAGTGTCAGATGTGGCACCTCATGAGTATAAGACACGCCGATGAGGTAGCGCTTACAATCTGGTAAACCGGCTAGGGGACAGCCTCACGCTGCAGTCTGTTCGTAGTAGAAACAGAAACACAGACCCGAATGGGGCTAAATACGTTGACGTTGATTCAGCTATTCCGTCCCCTTTGAGCGGTAACGATAAGTAGATCGGTTTCTTTCCTCTTTTTGCTTTCGCTTCTCGTACCTCCATGTTTCTCCGAACGAACCTCTCCGGATAGCCATTTCTATCGAATAGGCTACGTACAAAGTTTAGCTCATCAGAAAGCATGTCCTCGCCACATATCTTTCTTCCTCGCTCGGTTAGGCAGCGAACAAGTTTCCGTTTCTGCCTGAGCAGAACGAAGCTGGTAAAGTGAGTATAGTGCCCATTCCACGTTGTCTTTCTATGGACACTGCGCTGGACCGACCCGTCAGACCTTCGGCTAATCTGAACGTTTAGGTACAGTATTGAGTTGCTACACTCAGATTTAAGGGTGAATTTTATGTTTGCGTGGGCTGAGTTAAATTGTCTCATTAATTCTTCCGTGCAAAGATGACTATCTGAGATGCAGAATATATCGTCCACATACCGTCGGTAGTAAACTAATTTGTCGATAATTCCGTTTAGATAGCTGTTCTCTTACTCATACATACGTCTGCTATCCATGGTCCTAACGGAGAGCCCATTGCGACTCCGCCCTTCTGTCAGTAGATATTCCTGTCGAACAGGAATAGTACGTTCCTGGTACACATCAGAAGCAACTGTTTAAATCGCTCGCTCGAGAGGCCGACATCTACATGGTGAAATGGAACAGCATCGTATAGGTAATTTATCGTCTACTCCAGCGGAACATTGGTGAAGAGCGACACTACATTCAGAGAAAACATTTTTTCCTTCCGGTTAACTGCATATGGCTTATGGAGTCTACGAAGCTGAATGCATCTCTGAGGCTGTTTGGATACGACTTTTCTGGTCGATTCTAGAAGCTTAGCGAGCCATTTCGCTGTTGAGTGATATGGAGAATCACACATGTCTAATACTGACCTCAATGGAAGTCCTTCTTTATGCACTTTCGGTAAGCCATAAAGACGTGGAATCACTGTCCCGGAGGGATGCGTGTACTCGAAAAGCACTGAGTCAATCGCATTCTCTTGCTTCAGGCAACGTAGTAGCTTCGTGACTGTCATTTCTACCGAGGCCGTTTTGTCTTTCTCTTCCTCCATCATCCGGGATTTTGAATGATCGCTGAGGATGGCATTTATCTTAGCGATGTACTCAGATTTATCCATAAGGACAATCCCTGCTCCTTTATCGGGCCTAGAGAGCAGCATATTTTCGTTCCGTTTAAGCGTTTTGAGGGCATATAAGTGCATGTTCGTCAGTAAATACCTGAGTTTAGGTTTGTGCTTCAGGTACTGGTAACATGTATTGATCATGGTGGATTTAAAATGTTCAGCAGCTAATGCTGACGAAAGTATAAGCATAGCCACTTGGGAATGTGTATTTTCAAACTGGACTTCTAGTTCTAGCTGAGTGGTATGATTACGAGGACAACAAAATTTCGGACAGAGTGAAAGTGCCTCAAGTAGTGTTTTATCCAGACGTAAAGAGGAAAATTGTGAACATACCTTTCCGGATCAGATGGGAACAGGGTGTTTGCCTTAGTCGTGCCAACCTGCTGACACATTGAGAGTAGTCATCCGTCAACTTGCTTTGTGATTACACGTTGAACAAATGCTTCGAATCGCGTGAGTTCCCCCGCATTCAGATGGCCCAGCATGAGAGAATAAACACACTGATTACGCTCCAAATCATTATGTCCAGAGGCAACCGTCTCACGTTCGTTTAATGCATGACGCTCCAGTGCAGTATTAGTAGGATTAATCCCATTCCGTCTGAGTATTTTCCAAAAATGTTTCGGATATTCACAACACAAAATACACTCATCAAAGAACTGAACCGTCGCCTTCGCTACCGTAAGTTTTGTACGTACTGGTTAAACCCTTTTATGCACAATGGGATCCTTGGTCTGTTTCAACTGATAAAACACCCCAGGATTAGACATCAGAATAAATGTTAGCGAAGAAGCTCGTTTTCAATGGTTCCTCATCAGGCTAATACACCACAAATGGTGAAAATGAGTTACTTCGCTAACATTTGTTCTGATGTCTACTCCCGGGATATGTTATCAGTTGAAATATAGATATACTGGCGAGATGGGGGAAAAGGAAACAGTTTGGGTGCTTTGTGTCTACAATGCCCGATCATAAACAATAACTGAGTAAAAATTACCAAGACGTACCTTGTTGAGTTCATCAATTCGCCGAATTTGATAGGGAGCAGTTGCCGAGGACTCAAAGTAAACGAAGTCTGAAAAACAGTGAAGAGTGTAAGAGAAACGTTTATATTGAAACAATTAAATTTAAAAAGGCAGGGCGCAAACATCGGACTGCAAATATCACAAGTATCCGAGGATAATGGATGATAACACACATGGACCAAACAAGAGCTAAATTGTTTGTAGAGTACACAAAGCTAGACCCGATTATGATAGCAAAAAGGGACTGTGGTAACGACTATCTAATTAGCTGGCCGACTCACTGTCACACTAATCAGTGGGCAACATAGGAAACGCATGATTCAAGGCCAATAGTAAAAAATTAGACAAATTTGTTACAAAGAACCAGGAATTGAAAGAGATCTACTGAGTACTGATTGAAGGCAGCAAGAAGAGATCTCTCCGTGTGGCTGCATCTAATATCACTCAAGTACAAAGATTCGTTATGTTGAAGTGCGCTCGACATATTTTAAATCGACAAAGTGTTTGTCCAGGAAGTTCTTGTAGTCCGACCCCGACTGCATCAACTACGTGCTGCGGCAGATTGTATCATATATTCATCACTCTCCGTTAGAAGCAGAGTTGATGGGCGACCCGCTACAAACCTGTACCGGTGTTATCTTGTGCTGCTTGGTGTGCGTGAATGCAGCAGCGGCCTCAGCATGGGGTAATCACTGAGATGTAGTATTCGGTGCGTCATGATGAGATCAACTGGCAATCGATAATAAGATAAAATATAAAGCCCTAGTCTCTTACACCGGTCTTCGTACGGCATACCTTGTAAACTGGGGATCAGCCTGGTGCCGTGAGCTAATAATATTTACTAAACGTGACCTCATTAAAGTTTGTTTAATAAATTCTTATCTTAATGATCATCCGCGGTCCAGATCTCACCCACTATTGGTGATCCCCGAAGTGTTAAGAGCGAGGGATGGTAGAGAGCAGTTCTGACGGGACGAGTCAAAAATCGCAGACCGTGTCGCACCGAATGCTTATGTCGGAGATTGCAACAGACGTTAATGTAGATTCAAAAACGGACGCTTGTGGATAAAATTAGAGTAAGTTAATGAGGTAGCACTAAGTTGCGAATAAACATGAAGTATGTGTCCGAGAACTGAAGTGGCCACTTTGTGAAAAGAGAGGAAACAAAATAGGAATTCTTGCAGCAAACATTCCGAGTTCAGCAATGCCGGTCCAGCTAATGTAGCACTCAATGGAAATCTTCCTCTCGCATAGAAAGCCCCTTTGAAACAGCCGCAGGAGGGCACATACGGCACGACATCCAACAGCCAAGCGTAAGTGGAAAATAGCAATATTAGAAACAAAAATACACATCAGTGTAAAGGTCATAAAGTCGTTTAAGTAGTATCAACCAAATACACAGAATGTAAAGATGTATCTGTGATGGATGTGCTTGTGAGATGTTACCGCCACCAAAAAATAGGACAGCCGAAACAGCGCATACTATTAGTGGGCAAGACCACTGAATGAAAACGGAGTTCCCGAAGGAGCGCTTATATGGAAACTTAACTTCTGAACAGCTTTAGCATGAAATTAACAAATAGGCCTCATCTCCCCGAACCAGAGAACTAGGAAAGTATACCTATCTGAACACTAGGTATTTAGCATACAAATATGAGTGCGGTTGAAGTTATATAAACAAAACAAATAAAAAAATAAACTTTTATTCTCGATGATGCGAGACATGCCTACATCGTCTATCACAAGTGGATCAGGAAAATTGCATATCAGATCGGATAATGACGACTAATAGGACAACAAAGAGATAATAAATACCTGACTGATGTTGGCTGGCTTTTAACTGTTCTCCCACATATAAAACAGCTAAATCACAGGAGGTAGTATGATGGGTGAAATATGCGCTGTATCATATGAAACCTAACCCCTACTCGTACGTTTGGCTTGTTGTTATGGAACAAGCAAATAGTTTGATCATGTTTTGTATTGACAAGTACTTTCTGATGCTTTCTCAA